ATTTACGAAGCCTTTAGAGTTCATTTTATTTTTTATATTTTACCACCTTGTCTGGGATAAAACATAGGATAAAATTTTTAATGTGAATTAAAAATACCAGTAAGTGTGCTCATGTATACAGTAGACTAGGATAACTCCTTTGAAGAAATCACTACCTAACGAACTGAGTATATAAATTTTGATAAAATAACAAAATATGTATTTACCCAGTAGAGCTACCAGTAGGAGCTATTCTGCTCTACAGATAAATACATACTCACCAGAGATATTAGAACTGCAAGAATCATTCTGAGTCTCTAAGGTGATAATTTATATTTTTTGCTTGCATATTGCTTTTATAGTAAAAATGTACTATTTCTGAAAGGGAAAAATGGACCAATACTGCAATCAATTTTAATAAGCAAGGCTGCATATTCAAACTTCAGTTAATATTGATGCTTTATGAAAACAATTGTAAAACTATTTTAAAATGGTCAAGAATGCATAAATCGTGTTTGAATAATTAGGTACCTCTGCTAATTTAAATTCAAACTACTCATTAGTAAAATGAAATATATCTGGTAATTTAAATGTAAAAAATGAAGTATAAAGAGTTATCAATACTTTCTATAGTAGTTACGTCTTTAAGATATTAGCAGCACATTTTTTTTAAAAAAGAACATTGACTCATATAAGTAAAAATAGCTATAGTTAGTTATTATAATAATGTACCTCATAGTCTGTTTTTATAGTCAAACATAGAAAGGTTTCTTCTAAATAAAAGAGAAATTAATTAGTCATTCAAGCAAATACATAAGAAAGCACTCCAAACAAAGGAGATTCAAGTGGTCAAGTCAGTCAATCAGCAAAAATGTAGTGAAAATAAGAAAGCACAGTCATTTTTGCAACAGTAGCAATACTGAATAAAGTCTAATATTTAATTAAATAGTTTGGGGATGTTTGTCTATAAATAACTGTATCATCTAATATTGACATTTTATGTAGAAATATTCTAAAGGTTACAATTCGTAGAGTATTAATTATATAAATAATGGTAAGTACAGTAATGCATTTCTAAGTATAAAAAATAAACCCTTTTAATCCTATGTGGATTGAAATAAAGAGTTAATAGTATTTACAACTGGTGATATTACAAAAAGAATATTTTCAATAAAAGGAGAAATTTTCATTGTAAATGCAGGAATTGTCCACCCTCTTCTCTGTCTTCTATGAGGAAATAAAATCTTCTTACCTGTCACCCTACACCCAAGATTTTTGTCTACCTCAAAAAAAAAAAAAAAAAAAGCTTAAAATTAAAGGGTCAACCCTTTACCCCCTTTCATGGTTTATAAAGCAAAAAGTCAAAACTCTTCATGGCCTCTTCTCCTTCCAACCACCTAAGATTCAAATAAGGGTGATTGCTCTCTTTTTTTGTTCAGTAGTGTCCTGGTGAGGGAATGATTTTACTGTCCTTTTTCTGTGGGGTCCTGCCGGTTTATCTAAAAGGAAATGAATTATAACAGGATGACAAGGCCACAAAACAAAGCCATTTAGTTTTACAAATCTATTATGTCCTCCAATCTGTTTTATGGGTCTGGTCCTATTATAAACTAAGAAAAACCCTAAAACAAACTCTTTTTTCCTTTCTTTCCATTGAAAACATCTACAATTTTATGACTGTTTAACACTTTAGCCTAAATTTTTTTCCGATCTCTGTGTGTGTGTATGTGTGTGTTTTTCCCCCAAGAGTCCTTCCACCCCACCTTCTCAAACATACAAAACATTCAGAGACAAGAAACTGGACTTTTCAAATACAACCTGCTGACAACTGTCAGAAGCACTTTACTGGGACATTACTGACTGTAGCTTCAATGAATTAAGCTTGATTCACTGCGGGTGAATCATTTTCAATGCAGAGCTGTTCAGCAGTAATTGGCCAAGAATCCCTGCTGCGAAAAGCACTTGTCAAATAATGCTTGTTTACAAATATATCTCCAGACAGCAAAAAGTGGCAGTTACTGAATAAGTTCAGGGCCACCTCCAATATTCATAACAGTGGACATGCTCTCTTTACTTATTAAATCTATTAACATTTTCACTTGTTGATATACTTGCTAATGTCTGTCCTGCTTGATCAATCTGAGATAAGTTGCTAAATATGCCTCTGAATTATTTTATAATAGAAGTGTTTTATATTAGACTGTAGTTCAAAGGTTTCTTCCACATGTAATTTATGCCTAAGGTATGTAAAAAGACAACTAAAGATATATTTATCTTATCTTAGAATTGAATCTAAAGAGTACATTTTCCTCTTATTGTCTTTTATCCAACATATCCTAACATTCATTCCATCTCAATTTAAGATTCTAGATATATATCTGGCTTTTCCTGTTCAGTTCTGCTTATTTATGTCTACAAAAGTTAAATTTTAAAAATGACTAGAATACAAATTATGAATGTAAAGTCACATTTATGTCTATCTGCCTTGAATTTTTTCCTCACATAATGGGAGCATTCATATTTTATATATATATATATATATATATATATATATATATATACACACACATACACTATAGTCTGTGAAATCACTAAGTATCTATAGGTTGCAGAAGGCAAAATATATGAGAGCAAGTTATTAATGGATGCAGTGCATACATCGAATCTTTCTGCCCCTGATCTTCCAAAGAACTTCCAGAAATAAACAATCAAAAGCAAACTTAAAAACTCCAATTGGAATCTTTAAATAAACTCCTGTTATTAGTATCTTAATATATTATTGCTTGATTTATAATAACACACGGAGAAACAAAAAGAAGAGGAGAGCAATGGTCTGAGATGATACTTATGGAAAGATGGAAAACTGCTGGATAGAGATAGAATGAATGAGGTGAAGCATACATATTAAGACGATTTTATTTCCTACTGTGTTTAATAGTGATAGATCCCTGCAATCCTCACCTCCCTACAACCCAAGTTTTGATGTGTGTTCGAATAGCTGGCGTAGGGACAATACAACCTGTGGTTGTTACGTCTGTGATATCAACCAGTCTACCTTCCAGAAGATTTGAGCTCTGCTTACATCACCTTAAGAGACCGGTGCTATTTCCTAGCTTCCCTCCAATTCCCTCTGCCTCTTCCTCCTTGGCGCAGTCTTGGCCCTTGTGCCCATTCAGCATCACCCTCCCTGAGATTTCATTTTTTCCCCTTCTCTAACCAAGAGCCTCTTCTCCCTTTCATCTCTACATAAACCACTTCCCTCATCACACCTGGGGGGAAAAAAAAATTGAAATATAATGGGAACAGGAAAGGATGAATGACACTACTATTACTGTTACTCTTTAAATCCAAACCAGGATGCCCCTTCCGGTGGAATAAGACAGTTAATAAAAGGATTCCAAACCCTGTTATAATCCTCCGGACTTCTAACATAATAAATCTAACATGAGAGGTTAATAAAAGGACTTAAAACACTTTTTCAACTTCATCGGGAAGGGGAAAAGATGCAGATTGTTTGGGTTAAGCATGGGAGACTGCCATAGCTAGATAACTAGATACAGTGAGCTACACAGAATCCTTAAATCAGATTTAAAACAATAAGTGTAAGGATTAAAGAGAGAAGTTCATGGGGTGGGGCAGGGAGTTTCGATCTGCCCTGCTTTCACACGGTTCCTAGGGAGCTGGCAGTGCTCCTAAACCAGCTCAGCGCCTTCTCCTACAGCCACACAACCCGCGCAAGTCACGAGGACACACACGACCCCAAGGCTGCTGCTTCGTCTTTCCGGTCCAGCGTCCCCTGCCCTAGGTATGGAAGGGATTTTTTTAAGGTTCTGTGCCTCACCCGTGGTTTGAGGAGCCTCAAATCGAAACCCCAGTATTCCAGCCAGGGGGCAGGGTCTTTGATGTTTGCGTGGTGGAGCTGACCGCTTCTCGCAGCCCAGATCTGGATCTGAGATGCTACACCTCCCACCCCCATGCTAAAGGAATGAGCTTTTGAGCTGTGACCCAGCGCGGTCGGGGTGTGAGAGGAGCAAGCGCGGCCGGAGCAGACCGAGGGCCGAGGGCGCCCAGGCGAACCGTGGCGGGCCCGGGGGGCTGAGCACAGCTCCGGGAGCAGAGAGCGCCGCACAGGTGCTGTTCCCGCGGGCCGACTCTACTCGCCCAGCGGCAGGCGGAGACAGCCTTCCGGGTCCGGAGCGCAGGATTGGGGGTGGGGAGGAGGGTTGGGAACTCCAGGATCCGGTGCCGACGAGAGCGGGGCTCTTCCCTCACGCGAACACCGAGACACAAGCCCTGGTGGGTTTGGGCAGCAACTTCCTGGCAGCGAAACTCCACCCCCCTTCCGCCTCATCCCACCTTCCCGCCTTCTTCCACTTTCACCTCAGTGTGATTATGAGCCCCCAAAGTGAAGGGCACCCCACAGTGTGGGGCGCCTTCTGTCCTTCGCCATTCCCCGCCCTCGAGAAATAACAGCTCTTGCCACCCACCCCAGAATAGCAGCTGGCGATGCCCTAAATAACAGCTTCCAGAAGGCACTCCCCCCCCCCCCCAAATAAAAGCAGCCAGCCACCCTCACAATATTTCCCATCACCGGCCTCAAATAACGGTTTCTAAAAGCCCACCGCTCCCGAGCTCGATGTCGCTGAGCTTCAGACAGTTCCCACTCCTTCAAGATCCAAATGTCACTTCCCCGCGCGCTTCAAGTGAGAACCAGCCGCACCCAACCTTCTGGCGCGGGTCTCAGACCTCTCTTTCCCCCCCGCTTGCAACTTCCCAGCCCCCCAACCAGCCTCGGTCCACACGCAGGTTCCCCGCCCAGCGCTCCGCACCTAATGTAAAACAATGCAACCAGACACAGCAAAGGGGAGCGAAAAGGCTGGCGAAAGCGGACAAATGTTAATTCGTGATGCGGGGTGAGATTTCGTCCGTGGCTGCAGCGTCCGGAGCGCCCGCACCCGCACTTCCAGGCCCCGCCTCGCCCCTCCGCCCCAGGTCGCTGCGGTCCCCACCCCCAACACTACCTTCGTTGCTGGGGCTGGCCAGGAGGGTCCGAAGCGCGGCGCACAGAAGAAGGCACGTCCAGAGGGGGGCCCTGCGAGGTGCGGCATAGCAGCCGGCCAGAGATGCAGGGGTGCTGGGGGTGTCGCCGTCGCCGCCGCCCGGGGGCCTCCGGCGTCCCGCACCCGGGGGCCCCGAGCCCCGCATCTTCTCCTAGCTGCCTCCGCCGCTGCTGTCCCGCGCGGCTCAGTCCACCGCCCCGGCCTCGGGGAGGGGGCGAGGGAGGCTCGCGGTTCCTCCGCGTTGCCCGTGGAGTCCCTTGGCTTCTGGCACGCGGCTCTTCCAAACGCGGGAACCGCGGATCCTCTGAGACGGCCGAAGTTTGCTTCCGGCTCCTGTCTCCCTTCTCTCCAGTGGGCTTAATTTAAATACTAGTTATGGCTGATAGTGCAGTTCTGGACTGGACTCAAGGGTGTCGAGAAGGTCCCGCGTCCTGTTTCTCTGTCTCTCAAGACTTTTAAGGATTGAGGTCTTTAAAATGCCCCTGAGGGGAAAATAAAGGTTCCTTTTCAGTCTTCGGGGCTGAAATGATGAAGGGAAGGGAGACAAGTCATCTTAAGTCAAGAAAAATGCTCAATAAAAAGAGGAGAACAAGGCAGGGTGGTTAAGGATAAAGGAAAGGAGTTGAGAAAATACAGGGTGGAGAAAACACGAGAGAGGCGAGCAAAGGAAAAGATCCAGAGAGTTCAGAGACTGGCAGAAGGAAATAGCTGCGGGCTGAGCGCTGACGAGGGGAGGTACTGGCGGCTGCAGGCGGCCGGGAGCGCGGAGCCCAGCGGCGGTAGCCCGGAGCTGCTGCGGTTCCCGCTGCTCCGGGGGGAGGTGGTGTGCGCGCGGCTGGGAGGACGAGGTTGAAACTGCACAGCCACGGCGCCCTCCTGCTGTGTCGGGAGCTCCGTCGTCTCCTCTGCCTCCCGGCTCTGCACCTCCCACCGTCCTCCCTCCTCCTCTTCCCAGCTCCCCCGCCCTCTGCTGCTCGCAGCTTCGCCAGTGAGAATCTACAGTAAGTGTGAGTTGCTTAGACGAAGTCACACACTCGCGGAGGGAAGTAATCTGAAGGCTGCCGTGGTGAGTGTTGCCTAGCGGTCTCCGGGAAAGGCGCGTCTTCCTCCCCGGATAATTAGGGCGAAGAATTCTCTTGACGGTGCCTGCGAACACCGGGGCTCCCGGGAGGCGGAAGGGAAATCAGCCTTAGGCTCAGCCGGCAGCCCTTGGAGAAGCGGGTCCTTTGGTTTCGCACGTTGCCTGCTGCCCATCACAGGCTTGTGGCATCAACAACCTTGTCGTCACATAGCCACGCATTCGCAGGCTGTGCTGGTCCGTGGCTAGTTTCTTAAACACCCATATCGCTCATTGCTGCTCACCCTTTCTATTCTTCCAATACTTTGGCAGCTGGGATGGGATAATTAGGCAACATTTCCTTCAGAAGTAAATTGTAGAATTTCTGAATATAGACACCGTGACTATAATTGAAATTTCAGAGAGTCAAAGAATTTGACTTACTGAGGTTTGTAGTGTGCCAGGTACTTTACGATGTGATAATTTAATTCATTAGTTTCACTGACAGAATGTGTTAGAACTTTAGAAATTATAAGATAAGTAGCTATATGCAATTAATTCCAGTGCAATTAGCATGAGTCAAATAATTTCAGGGTTTAAAAAATATTTTAATTTCGTGTTTTCTACTGCATTGAATTACAAATTAATTACAAAAAAAAACTGTTTAAAACAATTGACTTTCTGTGCTCCACCTCTATTATGTATTCCCTTGCTTTATTATTTTTTCTTTAATCTTCTCATTCATTCTTTCAAAGAGATGCTTCTGAAGGGCAATTGTAGTAAAAACTACAAATAAAGCATGTACGAAAAGTGTGAGTTTAGAAGAAAGGTATCTTGTTTAATTTGTTGTATAGTAACTACTGGGAAGACTGGGTTTGCATTCACACCTAATGAAGGGGAGTCTGCTCACTAGCTTTGACATCTAGAGCCCTGTTTGTCTTCCCGATAAAATTCTCATCATCTTTAGCTGATGACATTTGTTTTCTGTTTAAATATTTGCAATAAAGATGAAAGAATAAAGAAGCGGTGATGCGATTTTATAAAGAGGTGGAAGCAAATCTTTGATTTTTTTTCCCCCAAAATGTTTTGGCACCAGAAATCTAAAACCAGCTTCTTTCTATTATAATGTGCACCAAACGCATGAAGCAAATTTAAAGAAATGGCAGTGAATCAGCCTTTCAGTTTGGCAAAAATCCTGATGCAAAGTTGAATTTTATATTTCTATTTGAAGACCATTCAAAATGTAAACTCCTCCCTCCAAATTATAGTTGAATTACTTAACAATATTTGAAAAGAATATCAACTAAGTTATCTTAAGCCTAGGGATACGTAATAATGCTGCTATGGAACATAGGCAGTTTAATGGGACTTAGAGCTTGTTATATTACTTCTATAGGTCTCAGTATCCTCATCAATAAAATGATTTGGAGAAAATGATCTTCAAGTTCCCTTTCCTTCCATACCCTTTGCGTTTCTATGTTACTACCCTGTTCACCTACCTCCAATTATTTACTATTGACTACAAAATTATTCAATTTCTTCAGCCCAACGTTGAAAGTATTCTACTACAAAGATCTTAAATAAATTTTCTATTTTACTTTACCTTAAAATTTGAAATTCAGTGTTCCCTAAATTGCCTCATACCTCTTTGTTTTTATGCCTGTCACTCTATCCCACAGAAGATTCACCCCCTAAAAATATTTAACACTTTCCCTCCCACACACACTCACACATACACATCTCTCATCTAAAATCCTACCCAGTGTCCAAAGAGTATAAGCATTCAAGACTGATCTTTTCACAAAAGAAGTTATTTGATTCTCTTTCTCCAAGTATCCATAGCTTATGATTTATGTCAATCAACACAATGCCAATATTTTCTGAATGAAAAACTGGAACAAATTATCTAACAACTATAAGTGTATATACTGGGATGAAAGAAATTTAAACTGGGCATGTCAAAGAAAACTTGGGACACTATTCACTATGGTGGGTAATTATCTCCTACCCAAGATAGTTAACTCCTCCTTAAGTGATTAAGACTACAGAAAGCCAACTCCTTAATTTTCTTCACCTTAAATAGCAGCCATTTTTCTCATGGTTATTTAATAACATTTGTCATATGTCCTTGAAAGAAAGAACAGCTGTAAAATGGAGCCCCAGATACAGCAATGAAAGAGTTAATCAAGTCAATGATGATGGCTTGATTTCCGCCTCAGTCTCACAAGAGATCTTATATCTGGTCTTGTGTTGCTTTCTTGGAATGTCAATACTCTCTTAGCATACTGACATTGGACCACAGTATTGCATGAAAACTAGATTTGTCTTTTTCCTTCATACTTACTGCCTTACACTGGAAAAGACTAAAACATCAGTAAGGGCTTGGAAGTCCTATTGTTTGCATTTCTCTTGCTTGGGATAACTGCTATGGCCTCAAAAGGTGAAAGTGGCTGATGTCTCCCTAGATTTCACCTTGGATTTGGCTTTTTACTAAGCCTTCATAGAGAAAAGAAATTCAGAATCACCTTGATAAGACACCTTGAAAGGTTAATACCCTATAAAAGTTATTATAGTTAAGTTCAATGTATTAATAATCCTGAATATCTTCACTGAATTCAAAGCAGAACAACAAAAGCAATTATACTAAGCAGAATTGCTAGTAATTACTGAAAATTTGCTATGTGTGAAGCATTATATGATGTTTTACATTAATTATTTTGCTTAATGCTGACATTTCAACCACATTGTTGGTATAATTATTAGCCCCATGTTAGTGATGAGAAGACTGAGGAAGTGAGGTTAGGCAACCTGAGTAGACCCACAGTCTCACAGCTAGTAAGACATGGCAATTTTAACCCATGGCTCTCACTCTGTGTAAGAAAATTTTAATGTAACAGAAGTAAAGAAAAAATTTGATAACTAGTCATTCAAAAAAAAAAAAAGAGAGAGAGGACTGCCCCCAAATTCTGCATTAATGGGAACAATAAATAAAAATATTCTGATCTTTAGGTTTATTTAAATCCAAAAGCAGCTAAGCAAATAATATAGTACACGTCAGATAAATGACTAGGAGAAAATAAGAAACAAGGGAGCCTATATAAGCATTATTTGGAGAAAAAGATTGTCTCATATAAACAAAAACATGCATACAATTTGTGTACAATAGAGAGACAATGGGCCAAATCAAGAAAATAGTGAGGTGTGTAGATAGATAATATTAGCACAAACAGATTGCTCAAAACCCATTAAACATAGAAATGGGTAGAAAATGGTAGAAAACATAAGCAAAAGTCTTTACAAAAATAATCCAAATAGGGGCACCTGGGTGGCTCAGTTGGCAAAGTGTCTGCCTTCAGGCCAGGTCATAATCTCTGAGTCCTGGGATTGAACCCTGAGTTGGGCTTTCTGCTCAGCATCCTGTTTCACCCTCTGCCTCTGCTCCTCCCCCGACTTGTGCGTGCTCTCTCAAATAAATAAAATCTTTAAAAAAAATCTAAATAAAACTTCAGAAACCAAAGAGCATTTTTTCCTAAAATATCATGTAGATTGGCGATTTTTTACATAATTGTTTTAAATGTTTTTGTTATTTAGCTGTATGCTCTCTTTGGGAGAATTTTGGGGGAAAAGCAAAAGCAAAGCAAAATTTTAACCCATGGTAGATTTTACATATGAAATTACAGGATAGCTAATGAAACTATAAGATACACTAATGAAGTTAATTTTTCAAGTCCATGATTTCCTGAAGAGGATACATATATGGTGATGTTAATTATTTTGACCCCAAAGGAAAAGGCTGACTAAAATATATTTAAGCAATCAATAGCTCTTAAAGTTCACAACCGAGAAAATGCTAATGTATTCATTATTTTAATGAATTCATTATTTAATGAATTACATTATTTAATGTAATTAACATAAAACAGATAATATTTTAATTTTTGTTCATAGTTATCTTAGGTTTTCTGAAATTCTCGAGTCACTTCTCCCTACTAATGATCCACATTTTTACTATTGATGTTCAATTTAATTATATTTCAATTTAATTGATTATTGAGTGATTTAAAAAATAAGGAATAAATAGTTTTTAATAAGTTAATAAGGGTTTAATTATATAAATTATTTTATTGCTTAGCAATACATTAAAATATTCTAATGAAAACAAAAGTTTAAGAAAAAAACAGCTTGTTAAGGCAGTGAAACCATCATGTGTCATGGTGGAATATGATATTATATATTTGTCAAAATGCATAACATGTACAACACCAAGAGTAAAACCTAATGTAAACTATGGACTTTAGTTAATAACAATGTGTCAATACTGGCTCATCAGTTGTAATAAATGTCACCTTTACAACTTAAAAAAAATAAATATGTTTCTATTATAATCAGCCCGCATTTTTTGTCTTTTTTATGAATATCGAGAACATAATAAAATCCTCCACTGTCAATGAGTATTAATACAGAATTTTGTAGCAAAGAATAAGAAGCAAGATATTTAAATAAATTACCGTGAACCCAAGAGCCACAGATTTTTATTGGTGGTGGTGGTGGTTGATTTATTCTCTAGTCATTCCTAGATCACTGTGTGAGGACTGCTGACACTTCAGTGTAACAGGAAGCCAATGCTGCTGTAGTTGATGAGGAACCAAACTGAATTGCCAGGAAATTCTTTGGTTGTTCTTTGCCTTCAGCATCTTGGACAATTGGCATCAAATGAAGATGTGGACAGTGAAATAATAAGGAATCTTGGGGCTGAAAAAGTAGGAAAAGTGTGCTGAGAAGAGTCACAAAATTGAAGTGATACACTGTGAGAGTGACTCACTTCACTTAAACTCACCTATTCCAACCATCTTCTGGATTCTGGAAGCATTTACTGTTATGCAAAAAATAAGTTGTAACATGTTTCATATTCAGAGGGAAGTTTTTAATTAATTCAGTGCATACACTCACTTGAAATTCATATATAATCCACTCATACAAGAACATATTTTATAATAAACTAGCTATAGTTTCCTAGGGGAAAACTGATAAATTTGCTCAATCGCATGAGTAAATAAGGGGTGCATATGCAAGGAAGCTTTTGATACAGCTGTTGGTTGTCCATGGAACAGGCTTCTAGATAAAAGCTAGCAGTATTAATCTCATGTACTCTCATACTT